ACTACAAAGCTACAGTAATCAAAACATTGTGGTACTGGCATAAAAAGATATTGGTCAATGGAACAGAACAGGGAGCCCAGAAATAAACCCACACACCTACGAACAATTAATCTTCAATAAACAAGGCAAGAATATACTATGGAGAAAAGACAGTCTCTTCAGCAAGTAGTATTGGGAAAGTTGGACAGCTGCATGTAAATCATGAAGTTAGAACATTCCCTCACACCGTAAACAAAAATAAACTTAAAATGGCTTAAAGACTTAAACACAAGACCTGACACCATAAAACTCCTAGAAGAGATCACAGGTAAAACATTCTCTGACATAAATTGCATCAATATTTTCTTAGGTCAGTCTCCCAAGGCAACAGAAATAAAAACAAAAACAAACAAACAGAACCAAAGCAAACTTACCAGGTTTTGAGTAGCACAGGAAACCACAAAATGAAAATGAAAAGACAGCCTACAGACTGGGAGAAAGTATTTGCAAATAATGTGACTTAATTAATTAATTAAGCAAGGCCTTAATTTCCAAAATATACAAACAGTTCATACAACTCAATAATAAAGAAACAAAAAACCCAATAGAAAAATGAGCGGAAGACCTAAACATTTCTCCAAAGAAGACATACAGAGATGATCAAAAGGCATATCAAAAGATGCTCCAAGCTGTTCATTATCAGAGAAACGCAAATCAAAACTACAATGAAGTACCACTTTATATTAATCAGCATACTCAACATTAAAAAGTCTACAAATAACAAATTCTGGAGAGGATGTGGAGAAAAGGGAATCCTCCTACATTGTTGGTGGAAATGGAAGTTTGTACACCCACTATGGAAAACAGTATGGAGGTTCCTTAAAAAACTAAAAATACCATAAAAAGGAATGCATTTGAGTAAGTGCAAATGAGGTGGACAAACCTAGAGCCTATTATGCAGAGTGAAGTAAGTCAGAAAGAGAAAAACAAACATTGTATATTAACAAATATATGGAATCTAGAAAGATGGTACTGATGAACTTATTTGCAGGGCAGCAATGGAGATGCAGACATAGAGAACAGACTTATGGACATGGGAAGGGTAGGAAGGAAGGGGTGGGATGAATGGAGAGAGTAACATGGAAACACATACACTACCATGTGTAAAAGGGATAGCCAATGGGAATTTGCTCTAAGGCTCAGGAACTCAAACCAACGTTCTGTTACAACCTAGAGGGGTTGGATGGGGCGGGAGATGGGAGGGAGGCTTATGAGGGAGGGGACATATGTGTACCTATGGCTGATCCATGCTGATGTATGGCAGAAACCAATACAGTATTATAATTATCCTTCTATTAAAATTAAAAAAAAACTTAAACATAGAGTTGCCATGTGATCCAGTAATGTCACTCTTATGCATATATCCAGAAAAGATGAAAACTTACTTCTCAAAGATTCATGCACCCCAGTATTCATGCACTATTTACAATAGCCAAGACAAGGAAGCAACCTAAATGTCCATTGGCAGATGAATGAATAAAGATGTAGTATACATACACAATGGAATATTACTCAGCCATAAAAAGGAATAAATTGATGCCACTTGCAGCCATATGGATGCAACTAGAGATTATGATGTTAAGTGAAGTAAGTCAGAAAGGGGAAGACAAATACCATATGATATCACTTATATATGGAATCTAAAATACAACACAAATGAACATATTTGTGAAGCAGATATAGAGTCACAGACATACAGAACAGACTTAGAGTTGCCAAGGAGGAAAGGGGTGGGGAAGGGATGGAGTGGAAGTTTGGGGTTAGCAGATACAGCATATACAGGACAGATAAACAAGAGAGCACAGGAAAGTATATTCAATATCCTGTGATAAACTAAAATAAGAAAGAGTATTAAAAAGAATATATGTTTATGTATGTATAACTGAATCACTTTGCTACACAGCAGAAACTAACACAACATTTTAAATCAACTATACTTCAATAAAACGTATGTTTTAAGTTATGTGTTTTCTTTTTTCTGGCTGCACCAAACATCTTGTGTGATCTTAGTTCGCTGACCAGGGATTGAACCCTTGCCCCTTGCAGCGGAAGCATGGCGTCCCAACCACTGGACCACCAGGGAATTCTTAAAAACTGTGCTTGTTCAAATCAGTGAGAAGATAAAGAACATAATCACTGTTACAGAGTTCAAGTGCCTACATTTTCGTTTTGGTCTGATTCTCACCAAGGATCACCTTAAGTAAGCGTGTACAATTTTACTTGTTCGTTTGTGGAATAACAACTTTTTTTAAAAAGAAATGTATTCAATGTGTTCCAATGAATACCACTGAATACATCACCATCACTGATTCTGTGTTCATTATAAGGTTTTATAGACATACAACATCAGTAAAAGAAATTTTCACATATTGAGGTATGGAGAACCCATCCTGGCTTATACATGAGTAAACCTGAATTTTACGGCAACTAAAACAGACTGTGTTCTATCAAACATGCATTGTACATCTGCTTTAATTAATAAGAAAAAGGGCCCATTGGCCAGAAGTAAAAAATTTTTGTCCTGGGACACCAGTGCCAGTGCTCCCCCAGGTGCCAAGGACATGACTGTTGTGTACATCTGATCTCTTTTTTTGAAACCTCGAAGGAATGAATCCACAACTTGCTTAATGTTCTTTGTTCTGACAAGATACAAAACAGCTGAAAAGCCTGCTTCTCTGGACCAGTTCTTCAGAAGCTATCTGAGAGGCTGTTTTCTGGGCTATCGTCCTCAGCTGACTCAAATAAAACTCTTCTATTCCTATTATCGATTGTTTGTTGGTTATTTGTGTCAACAACATATATACAGAAAAGTGTGCGAACTGTAAATGTATAGGTCATGACTTTTGTTTTAACCACATCATGTGGCTTGTGGGCTTTTAGTTCCCCAAGCAGGTACTAAATTTGGGCCCTCAGCAGTGAAAGTGTGGCGTCCTAATCACTAGACCACCAGGGACTTCCAAGGTCATGACTTTTAACAAAACAAACACTCCTGCATGAGCTGGTGCTCAACATTTAAGGGAGTGCTTCTCAAACTAGCCTCTGGAGGGGCCCTTGCAGGCAGAGCTCCAGCAATTCGAAAGCTTCACCAGTAATTCACAAAGAGAACCTGGCTGACGGGAACCTGGGAGCTGAGCTGGCCTCTGACAGGACTGTAAAGAGAACAGAACAGAATGCAAGCAGTTACTGCAAAGGTTAAGATCAAGGTGCTGGGACTTCCCTGATGGCCTAGTGGTTAAGGCTCTGTGCTTCTACAGCAGGGTTGTGGGTTCAATCCCTGGAAGGCATATCCTTGGGGGGGCGGTTTGTCTGGGGGTGGGTGGGGAAAGAATCATGGAGATGAGCAGATTTCCTGCTGCTTAGCTAGTCTCCTGGGCACACAGGAAGGCAAATTAGGATAGTCAAAAAAGTAAAGTGAAGTTGCTCAGTCGTGTCCAACTCTTTGCACTGTGGTGGACTGTAGCCCACCACGCTCCTCCATCCAAGGGATTTTCCAGGCAAGAGTACTAGAGTGGGTTGCCATTTCCTTCTCCAGGGGATATTCCTGACCCAGGGATTGAACCCAGGTCTCCCGCGTTGTAAGCAGACGCTTTACCATCTGAGCCAGCAGGGCAGTCCCAGGATAGTCAATGGTTCTACTCAAATGGAACAAGAATGTCCTTAAAGGGACAATACAATGACTATGGGTTCTTTTACAGATTTTACGAAACACAGTACACCCTAGTAGTGACTGTGTGTGAGACTGTGTAGTTTTAATATATTTAAAATTGTTGTGAAAAGCTGCAAAGATGGGACAGAGAGTTGTCACACACTTCTCATTCAGTTTCCCCTGTTGTGAACATCTTACATCATTATGATATAGTGGCACAATTCATGAATCAATACTGGCACACTGTTATTAACTAAAATCCATAATTCACCCAGATTTTCTTAGTTTGTACCTGATGTCCCAGCCAGGGTACCACATTATATTTAGTTGTCAGATCTTCTTAGGCTTCTCTTAGCTGTGACAGCTTCTCTTTCTCAAACTTTCGATATCCTTGACAATCTCAAGGGGTCAAATATTTTATAGAATGTCTCTTAATTAGGATTTGTCTGATGATTGTACTTTAACTACTGCTGCATACTTAGGATTATTAGTGGCTTCAAACACGTCACCAAAAACGTCAGAATTAGAAAATATGCCTCAAACTTAAAAAGTCTGAAAACCACTGGTCAAACCTCGAAACAGATTGTAAATAAACATAAATGAAGTTGTCACGATGTTTATACCACCTTCAGTTTCAAACTTCAGTTTCAAAAAACCCAGGTCCGTTTATGGACCTTTCACACCATGGCTGGATAGCAACCTTAATTTATAAACTGTGTGCATGTCACCCTCAATAGAGCCCAGGCCATCAGCCACCCAGCCTCATTTCCCAGCTCTACTTAAAAAGGAAGGCAACAGCTTTTCATTCAAGGGTCATCATGGTAATAATTCATCCTGAGGTAAAAAGGAAGTTCAAATTAAGCCTAATGAAATTCCAGTTTTCAACAGAGTATTGTTTTAAAGTACAAGCAGAAAGACTGATCAAACTTTCAAAGAAGTATTTTCTTTTTCAAATGAGTAAAGTCCAAATTAGGAAGCACAGAGGATTACACCCTATTACTCTGTAATGTCTGATACCAGAAAAGTGTTCTCATTAAGGTGAAGCCATTGTAGATATACTAGAAATTAAATCCGTACAAGGTACAGACTTAAAACACTTTTTAACCAATCACTCTGCTCTTAATAGTATGAGGGAAGTCACCAGTCATAAGCATTTGGAGCACTTAACATCATTGGCAATGCTGGAGATGGTACAATGTTTAGCTCAATAAAAAGAGACAATACCTGATATGTCCTCTGGAGCTCAGAATTCAAATATGCAGATTGGCAACCACCCAGGCCTAAAGATGTGTTCTCTGAACCAGAAAGGACTCACCGTGTTGGCCAGTTCTAGATAGCTTCCTCCTACAGAGTTGCCAAAGCGTGGGGACTGCGCGAGCAGCTTGCGGAGCACAGCAGCCTGCTGGTGCAAAGAGCTTCCCCCATACTCCAAAAGCTTCTGCAGGGCTGGCTGACTCTGCAAGTCCGGGCCCTGGAGGTCCCTGGCTCCCGAGGCGTACTCCCAGCTCTCCCTGGCCGCTGATAAGGCACCTAGGTCCAGAAGAGACAGCAGGGTGGGTGGGGGTGGGGGGGGGGAGATGGTTCCTGCGTTAGCCTGTGGGTGGCCAAGAGGCAACGATTTGGAAATCCACGCATCAGAACACATGTGGCGCCCGGCTGCACACTAAGCATTTTCCCTTTCAAAGTGACACATGGGGTGCCTGGAGATAAAAGCCGTTTCAGGCGAAGCATTTAGAAATAACTACCCAATGAATACGCGCCTTCCCCCGGTCCAACAGAAATGTTTAGCAAAAAGCACCCATGAGCTGAAAAAAGGGAAGCCTGATCACAGCTACAGCTGTCTGTGATTTAGTGTTCTGTCATCCTTTTCCCCACTTGAGCAGGAAGGAAGCAAGGCAGAAGACAGTTCGATACGGCACTTTATCGTCATTTTCTGGTGTCAACATACACTCTTACCTGGAAGAAACTCCAGGCAGTCACCTGGAAGAAACTCCAGGCAGAAATAGACTGCACTGCATGTGGTCGTGCTCTCAGCAACAGAATGTGAGCACAAGTGACAAGCACAGCTTCAGAGCCTGGCTCATAAAACCCCGAGTGGGATTCTTCCTGCCCTCTGCCTCTGGCCGGGTTCCGATGGGCATGGCACCCTTGGAAATTGCGTGGTACAGATGGCAAAGCCACATGACAGAACACGCCTGGATCTGCGAACTACCTCCTGCAGCAGGGCTGTCTGCGGAGCCCAGGTACCATTTTGCTTTTAAATGATCAGGAAAAGGAAACTTCTTTTGTGTTGGATTCACCATATATTTTTGGTTTGTGAGAGGAATTAGGATTACATTAACTATCACAGCAGATTAGAACCTAATAAAAGATGCTAACCATTAGAACAGCACAGGAAAGTACAGTGAAAAGTAAACCTAGAGAAGGTCTAACCCAACAGCCCTCATGAGGGATGGGGGATGCTCAGGAAAAGCTTACTGGAGGAGAAAGACTGATGCTTCAGTTGCTACATTTGATAGAAAAAATTAGACTTGGGGTGATGCTTGCTTCTTTGTGTTTACTTCGGATTCAAAGTCCCTTGTGGGTGCAGCTGGCTGGTGGATCGTTGGTCACATGCATCTGTCTCAGCTGCAAGGAAAATGTGTTTTCCAGATGCTGGGAAATGTGTTTTCTGGTTTCCTCTTTGGGGAGATAGGATTTGTAAGATGAGACCTTTTCCCAAGAGAAGGAGGAGTATGCAAAAGACCTGGGCGGTCAGAAAACTTTACAAAGAAAGGGCTACTCACAGGCAGCATGCTAGGTGCTGGGGATAAAGCAGTGACCACGAGGAACTGCAGTCCCTGCCTATGTAGTTTTCATTTCAGTGGGTCTTGATACATGACTTTTAATTGCAAAAAAAGGGATTCATTAAAATGATTCAATTTGTACTATGAAAGGAGAACATATGCAGATTCCTCTACAATTTACTTGAGTATAATTACATACAGAAAACTACAAATTATGTACAGCAGGTTCTGATGTGAATTTCCAATCTCCTCTTATTGGGAATTGGTGAATTTCACCAAGGTAATTAGGAAAACTGTCTTGTCTGGAACCACTTCAGATACTTTTCATCTACTGTTCATATTCAGCTGATCTTCTTTAGTCAATCGGACCCAACATTCTTTTCATACAATGATATATAGCAGGGTGACATGTCTTTACCAAAGCAGACAATTCTGTTATTATGTTTGCAACTACCCAAACTTTATTAAAATATTAAAATCTATTCACTGAATTGCAAGGGTGGCTTTGCTTTCCATTTCAACACAGACTTCAAAATGCTTGCCCTGCTTCTGTACACTCCTCTGAACGCTCTCTGTCTGCCTGGCCTCCTCACATTCTCTGTCCTGGCTCCAGTAATGTGTGGCCAGAAGACTGAGCTCAGAAATGGGTTGAATCATTGATAAGCCTGTTAGGTCATACGTAAGGCAAGTAGCATAGGGTTGGGCACTTGTCTTTTATGTTTGACTATGGTATCCCCAGCACCTTGCACATAGCCTGTGACATATCTGGTGTTTATTACACATTTATTGAATGGGTTGCTGAATCACTGGCAGTTGTAGTACCCCAGGGTTTCACTTCTTAATCAGGAAAAGCAACATGAAGATTAATTTAAAAAATCAAAGTAAATGATACACTTAAACTTCTTTCTTTATGCAAAGTTGTTTATGAGAACTTTGTTTCAAAAAATAACACACACCAGCTCTTGGACTAGACAGCCCAAGGAAGCTTCATTTGAATTTATTATGCTGTATTAACAGACCCAAACCCAGTTTCGGGCAGAGTCATATAATCAGGTTAACTAAGCTCCATGTTAATCAGAAAGATGAAAAGGCCCTCACACTGTTACCTTAACAACCTTTGCTGAAGTGATGCTGAGAACTCAGATCCTCTGCCAAGGAGCCAAGACAAGCACACTAGCATCTACATAAACGGACCACAAACAACAAAGTGCATTTTAAAATAGTACAGTAGATGTGTAGCTGCGACACTCTGCTGTACAGCAGGAGTTAATACAACATTCTAAGTCAACTACATTTCAACTAAAAGAGACAGTAGGCTGTTCCCATCACTCTCTTGAATCTGTTGTCACAGTAGACGTTTCTATACAAAACCCAACAATCCCGAGGCAAAACCAGTCGTTTAACTTGGAAGAACTCATGGAAAAATTTGAAATATGTAGTTCATATTGCTCTATGAAATATGATAGTGCTTGATGTTTTTAGGCTCACCTTCAGCCTCAGGCCAGCCTCTTTTCACTCTCTTGCTAACCTCAAAAGAAGCCTCTTTCCCTGAGCATGGACACGTTATCGTCCACAGGGCCCCGTGCTCTCTGGCCTCTCTGGTGCCCGTCCTCAGGAGGACACTCGCGCCATCAGGAGGCCGCCACCACCGTGACCTCACGGAGCTCCGTTCTCCCCTCCACCGTCCCCATGGCTCCAGCTCTGACAACTGGCATGCTGGCGCTAAGGCTCTGGGGGGTGGGCAGGGAATACTCAAGAGCGTGGCGAGCACTGAGCAGGGGCTCGCCCGGCCGTCACAGCGACTGCGCAGCACCCTCTAGACACCAGAGGCCGAAGCACTCCCTGGGCCTAGAGATCTCTGCACATGGAGAACCAAGGAGGTCTAACGTCTGCCTCCACAGTCCTCTCGGGTGCTCTGAAGGAAGAGGTAAGATGTGTTTCTTAAAAGCTGAATGTTTAGTGTTTAAAGGTGGCAGGGCACAGATTCCAAATGTTTCTCTTATCAGAAAAGCATAAGAAACAAGTAGAAATTTGATATGTTTATAAAATACATCACTGGGAAACCCTGCTTTCAGAAACCATGCTAGAACAGAAAATCTGCCAAACACTGAGATCCTTGCTCTGCTGGGTACTTGGCAGCTACAAGCTAGGGCTTTAATCCCATTTTCAAAGTGACACCCAGGTTTGGTTCTAAAGCCTGCAATTAGCGTGCTTATGCAGCAAAGGCACCATGCTACCTTCCATGAACCAAATCCCCTGTGAGAATAAGGCAAATCAACATGTGATACACCTGATATTTATGTTAATGACACAATAATCATGAAAGATAAAATTTATTCAAAGCCACTAAGGACCAGGTGCTGTCCTAAGAATCTTACATACGTTATCTTACATAGATCTATGTACAGCCTATGAACAATGAATTCATTTTTTTCCATTTTAAGAAAAAGATATTTTCTTTCATTTTAGAGACTTTGCTCATTTACACAGAACAGTGGTTAAGAGCTGGGGTTTTGCGGGCAGATTCCTTGAGGTCAAGTCAAGAGTCACCATGACCAACTATGTGCCTTCAAGCAAATTATGTAACCTAAGCTTCAGTTTTCCCATCTTCATAATCAGCATGTCTAGTGCTAATTCGCTTCAGTCATGTCCAACCCTTTGCGACTCCATGGACTGTAGCCCGCCTGGCTCCTCTGTCCATGGGATTCTCCAAACAAGAATACTGGAGTGGGTTGCCATGCCCTCCTCCAGGGGATCTGATCGACCCGGGGATCAAACCTGCATCTCTTTACACCTCCTGCACTGGCAGGCAGACTCTTTACCACTAGCTCAATAGTATGTATTTCACAGACGTGTTGTGAGAGCTAAGATTCAAATATGTAGAACATTTCAGACAATTCCCACTATACGACAAACTGACCAAGAAATGTGAGCAATTATCTGGTCACAGCTCGTGATTTTAGTTATTTGTAATCCATTTTGGACAATTTAATAGGGAACAAACACATGAGGGAAATTGTATACCCCCAAGGTTCTGAAAGGTACCTGTTAAAATGACCAGTTCTTAAAAAATGCATCTTTGGCACCTAACCTGTGACTAAAACATCACCAATAGCTTTGTAGTATACTTAATATCAGCATTAAAGACAATGAAAATAACCAATTAGGTCAGGGCCAAAGTTATGTTTCCCTGAGAATGGAATATTCCATTAATAAGTCAAAGTCTCTAGTTATCAGGTTTGATAGACTTTGTTTCCTCTATTCTACTTGGCCAACTCATATCCAGAGGACAACTGGCCTCCCCAAAACCTGTGGCCAGGACCATGAGGAAATCTGTCCAGCCCAGCAGTGGTGGCAGCAGGGGCAGAGTAGACATTTGTTCATCAGACTTGTGCTCTGGCTGTCCTAGCCACTCCTGTTTGCTGCCTCTGTTCTTTCTTTTCCATCTTTCATTTGAACGCTAGAGGCTTCTCATCACATCACAGGCAGGTGATAACACAGCATTTAGGGGATCCTGAGACATGTACTAACAGTGTTTTGTGATACTGTTTGTATTTAGTGCTCATTAATCTTGCATTTATGTGGATTGTTTAGAGAGAACTCCGTAATTTATTACCATCAGTGGCAAAAGAGAAAATACTCCTTTTAACTGGAAGCAGCTACCTGTCTGAATTTAGACCTAACACACCAACAGAAAGAAGCACAGGGAATTTGAAGAAACTGACAGCCAGGTGTCAGCCGTCC